TATAAGAGGGAGGAGATGGATAACAATTATGAGATCCGAATTCTTTAAAAAAAATAAGACGTGGTCTTACCACGGTATGATTTTTTTCATCACAATATAAATATTTTCTTATCTCAAGTTCAAATAAGTCTTATCCCTAAGAAAATCTTAATTATTACAAATTGCTAAGGTTAGTGAAGAATAATAGACAAAATTAAAATACTTATAGCTTGGTTATAAGTATTTTTAATTCAATAATAGACAAAAAATATTAGTATAGTATAACTTTTCTCATCATAATTCAAAAAAAATTCTCATATCAAATTCAAATGTCTTATCTATCTATATTTCGACAACTGAAATTATTTATTTACATACTTCTCCTCTTTTTTGTTTCTTGTCTGTTGTCTTGAACTTGCTTTTATCAGTCTTAAACTTAATTATAAGTTTTAATTCAAAAATAGACAAAAAAAAATATAAGTATTGTATGACTTTTCATAGCGAATTCAAATGAATTATCCTTCTATATCTCTACACTAAAATTATTTATATACTTATCTCCTTTTTTGATCCTTGTCGATTGTTATCGTGTTATCCATCACGTAATATTGTTACGCTATTATGTAACTTTTTATTAGCTTGCTACTTACTTCATATCCTTGTCCCTACTCCAATTGCAATATACTATATATAGATGAAAATGATTTTTCTTTCTATTGAAATAAATTTCTATTTATTTTTAGCATTTCCATCTATAATATTTAAATATATCAGATTTATTTTGGATTATCAGTTATTTGATTGCTTTATTATATTTTAAGATTAATTTAAAGTATAAATACCCTAACACTATTTCTACCCCCTCTTTCTAAATTATTTTTCCTAGTAGGATACTTTATTTAATTTTTAATTCAATAATAGAAAAAAAAATGCATATGATCATACTTTATAGTACTTCACCAAAATTTCATGGTATTTTATTGTTGAAACTTGGTGAAATTGTGTCATGTTTTAGAGAATTTATTTTAACTTTTAATAGATAAATGTTGCAAGTTATGAATGCTTTTGGGTCCTAGACTATCCGGACTTAAGCATAATAGTAGCTACGCACGGATTCTCGTCACCTCGTGCGTACGTAGCCCCCACAAACAGAAGCACATATCCAATTAATTCACCTATGGGGACAATTCCCTCTTAATAGAAAGGAGACTCACCTCGTCTCAATGCTTACTTTCCGGTCCAAGAATGAGCTCAAACCCCCAAGTCGTTGCCGAACAATCCAAAACTCAAAGTGCTAGGTGAAAACCCTCTTCCAAAAGCTCCAAAAGTTGCCCAAATCCGAGACTCAAAACTCAAAAATGAGTAAAAATGGCTGACTCCCGTTTTTAGGCATTCGGCCTAGGCAAGTCGCAGGTATGAAATGCGACTTTGCCTGATTTTCGCGCAAAAATGAACTACTATCAGCCTTCAGTCAATAGACCATAACTTTTTGTACGAATCTCCAAATGATGAATGGTTTAACTTTCTGGAAACTAGAATCAAAGATCTACAACTTCCATATTTTGCATATTTTAAGATTCCTTATGGATTTCGAGATATAAGCTTACAAAGTAGGCTCCTCGCATCAGAAATTTTTGGGGAAATCGCAAAACAGCTTTACCAGCCTTCATTTAATCGACCATAACTTTCTGTACAAATACGAAAATGATGAATGGTTTATCTTTCTGGAAATTAGAATGCAAGGGCCACAACTTTCATGTTTTACCAATTTTCAGATTCATTATAGATTGCAAGATATCAGCTTCCAAAATCGACTCCTCGTATCAGAAATTTTCTGGTGAACAGCTTCTGCAACAGAATTTCAGCAGCTTTCTTTGTCCGAAATCCATTCTGTTAATCTTCCGAAATCCACCCGAGGCCCTCGGGACCTTAAACAATTATACCAACATGTCCTAAAACATGATACAAACTCGCTCGAGGCCTCAAATCACATCAAACAACGTCGAAATCATGAATCGCGCATCGAATCGAATTATGAGTTTTCAAATCTTCCAACTTCTATATTTTGCGCCGAAACATATCAAATCAATTCGGAATGACTTCAAATTTTACACACAAGTCACATTCGACATTACGGACTTACTCCAACTTCCGGAATCAGAATCCGGCGCGATATCAAAAAATCAACTCTTGGTCAAACTTCTCAAAAACCTTCAAATTTCTAACTTTCGCCAAATGACTCCAAAATGACCTACGGACCTCCAAATCCACTTTCGATCGTACTCCCAATACCAGAATTACCACACGGAGCTATTCCCAGACTCGGAATCCCCAACGGACATCGATAGCATTGAAATGCACTTCAACCCAAATTTACGAAATTCTTCTAAAATGCTAACTTCCACAATAGGCGCCGAAACGTTCTCGGGTCATCCAAAACCTGATCCGAACATACGCCCAAGTCCGAAATCATCATACAAACCTGTTGGAACCTTCAAATCCCGATTCCGAGGTCGTTTACTCAAAAATCCACTATTAGTCAATTCTTCCAACTTAAGGTTTCCGATATGAGAATTCTTTTTTCAAATCGACTCCGAACTTCAATTTCGACCACGTGTACGAGTCATAATACCTGAAATGAAGCTGCTCGTGGCCTCAAACCGCCGAACGACGCGCTACAGCTCAAAACGACCTGTCGGGTCGTTACAAAAATTCACACTGTTGGATCCTCATCAACTGCGAAGCCCGATATTACTTGGAGTTCTCATCATTTAGCTTTGAGATTTTTACCTGGCTGATCCTTTATTTAATATTATTTTTATGAATAGCATCACTTCGTCTTTATTTCATAAATGACAGATTTTTTTACAAGTTTAGCATATTTCAGTCATACACTGCCACCATTGAAATATACTTAATGGTGCTAGGATTTTGTATATATTAAAATCTGATACTTATGAAAGTAAGCCATTTTAATTCAACTCTAGGCAATAATTAACTAAAACAACTGTGGACCAAAATTTTCAAGGGCCGGGGGGGGGGGGGGGGGTAGGAGTGAGAGGGTTGTTGGTATGCTTGTTATTTTCCAATTAAGGAGTACCGATTTGTTTTATCTTTGGCTGACTTTTTATGCCAAGTGGCTATTTGCCCGTTTGGATTAAATTATTTTAAGTGCTTTTAGTGTTTGGATAGAGTAAAAAAGTGCTTTTAAGCCTTTGTTTTTAAGCTAAAATGACAAAAACAAACCAAAAGCCAAAAGCTAGAATTCCTAACTTATGGCTTAAAAGCTATTTTAACTTAAAAGCCACTTAAAATAAGCTCATCCAAACGGGCTCTATGACTAGGAATCTAGCATTTGATAAGACTGTCTATTTTAAGCTGGCATGTTTGACCTTGTTTTGAACTATAGTGGAGTAATGGATATTAAAAAACGTATTTTTTCTAATATCTATAGTTGAGTGACATAATTTATATATTTTAATAGTTAAACTGGCATAATTTGGATTGTATGTTTGTATACAGCAGGAAAACAAAAGTAAATTCCCCTTGTGTTTGTTTCCCCACAAGCCCAAATCGCTACTCTGGGCTTTGGAATTATGCCCAAGCTCCAAATGCTAATTTTAATTGGAAACTTACATAAATGTCCCAAATAAGTTTTAACTTACCAATTTCTAGTCGTTACTCATAGACTTATCGAGCTAGCCAAACACATATAAAAATCGAAAAGCCCAATAAATAATATTCTTTCTCTCAAAGATTACATGCAAAAATCACCTTTCATATTTTTAAGCGTGATTAGCAACAATAGATGCAAGACGGAAAGGATATTTCATGGATGAGGTAGCAAATAAGGTGATGAAATACCCCAAAAAAAATACAATATTCCAATAATCTAAGCAAAAAAGAAACTTTTTCAATGGGATATAATTGAAATTCGTTGAGAACATATAGATAAGTCAATATAAAAAATTTGAGGAAGATTGGAGGTGATATGGACTGGTTTTGTATCAAAATCGTAATTAAATCGAGTTCAAAAAAGTCTTCTGCGACACATGTATCAAACATGTATCACGCATGTATCTCACACACAGGTATACATGGATATACATGTGATACACAATTGATACAAATATGATACACAAATGATACACATATCATTTTTTTTTTCATTTTCAGTTTTTACGTCGAATTTTCAATTCAAACCACCTCAAAACTTCACCAAATCATCCCAAAATTGAGATTCAAGCTCCTTAAGTTGTGCCCAATCTATTCTAATAACACCCACTCAAAACAAAGCAAAAATTTGATATTTTTTTGCTTCAAATAGCTAATTGGCTAATTTGGCTAATATTAGTAATATTTTATCAATTGGCCAATTTTTGTAATGAGCTACTTATAAATGGACATAGCTGGTAATTTCCCATATATTTTTACTTTGATATATGATGATAATCAGTATGTAAAGAGAGTTTTGCGTGATTTGGCAACCAAACTCAATGCCTCTAAAGCCCACACGTTCTTAAAAAAATCCTAACTTTCCCACTAGTTAGAATCGTTTATATATTTATGTATTCATTCTAAAAGAATTATCATAATTATATTATTTTCATACGGATGGTTACTTTTCTTCTATCCAAAATATAAGGTTGATTATATTTTGAAAAATTCAGACATATTGAGTCCATCGTTGTTGCATTCTTTTACACTAGAGGTTGATTTGACTCTAGTATGTGTTTTTTTTTTTTTTTTTGACGGTGTCCCTGCAATTTTTATATCTTGGATCCGTCTCTAGTTCTACTGCGTCAAGAAGTGAGGAGCAGGCAATGAAGGTAGTGATGATCACCCCATGTATGCGCTAGCGCCCTTAATGGACACTCCAAAATCCAAGAATACTCAATATAATGACACATTAAATTACATTAATAATATAAAAATAATTACATTATATTTCACTTTGATCTATGATAATAATATTGAAAAAGAATTACAAAGTCAGTGCCTATATAGCCCACACGTTCTAAAAACTCTTACCTTTCCCACCAAAGCACATGATCCCATAATGAAAGATCAAAGACCCTTAGAATCCATAATCATGTCTACACTTTCCACCTTTACTCCTCCTCAACTCTCCGATCTAACACTTTACTTCTCCGCCCTCTACCACCGCCATCACCGCCGTATTTTCTCTCTCCTCTCTTCTCCCACCCTCTTTTCTCTCACCTTACACCACCTCCACTCCCTCTCCTTACACAATAAGTCTCTCCTCATAGCCAAACACCTATTGTCCAAACTTGCAATATTCACTCATTTCATGAACAATAACACAATCTTGCCACCACCCTCCACCACCTCTATGAAACTCCGCGATTTAGACGCCGTTCTCCTCCTCCTCTTGCTCTGTGAACTCCGCCAACATGATCCAGAAGCACTCGATCTCCCTCCATCCAGGTGCGCGTTAGATAGTTTGTAATATATATGAAGTAATATAGGGGTCGTCTGGTTTGAAGACGAGTTATGCTGAAATTAGTTATGCTGGGATTAGTTATCCTAGTATTATTTCTTATGGACTTTTTAACATGTCGTATTAATTTTGCGATTGTCACTTTTACCGTTTTATCCTAGGATTGCTATTTCACCCTTTGGTATGTATAAATTATCCTGGTACTAGTTTTAATCTTGGGATAACTTATCTCAGGATTAGTAACCAAACAAGGGATAAGACAGTACTAAATGTTCATCTCAGAATTATTTTTGCTTATCCATCGTACCAAATGACCCCGAGGCTTTTCATTAAAATACTTGATATTTTAATTGTTTTATTTGAAACTTGAATCGAACTATGAATGTACATTTTATTTCCATGAATCATGATATATGATGACAGTTCTGATCAATAACCTTCTTCCAACCCTATAAATTCATGCCTTTTTTCGAGAAGTAGCTAAGTCAATTTGCCATACAAAAACTTGTCTGTATATTTTACCAAAATATATAGTGTTCTTTTGATTAATTCTATCTTTTTATATGTTTTTTCCTAATAGGTGGCGCCTTATTCTTTGTCAATACATAGCCAAAGACGCGCTAAAACTTTCTACCATTAGGAGCTCTAACAGAGAAGTCATAATGAAGTTCATTGAGATTGTAGCAAAATGCAAGAACTTTATCAATGCCATGAATCATACAGGTAATCAGTGATTTTATGTCAGGATTTTTCGTAAGCAGTGTCAATATTTAAAGAAGTGAACGAGTGAATATATCATTATAATGACAAGAGGTGTCCTTTTTTAAAATTTACACCCAATATTTTTATTTTGCTTATTATCTATATATACATATTTCGACGAAGTAGTGTTCCGTGATACCAATTGGACATGTATATCCGCCGGGGGCAAGTGCACAGATAGTCATTCTCAGGGATGCTGTTTAGAGATTAACCAGTATGTATTTTGTCCTTAAAGTTTAAACTAAAAATCTTAATTTCAGGAAAATTTAGGACATTTTTGTCCCGAAAATTTGAAACTGCAAAAATTGAAATTCGGGACGCAATGGCTAATTCCTAAATAGCAGCCTTTTAGAATGGTTACTTGGTGTCATTTCTACTCCGCCAGGTAGCGGCGGATGTATAGTACTTTGAGGCATGGGTTCAATTGAATCCATTATTTTCTACTACTATTTAATACTATTTTGAAATTTATAGTTTCAAAGAACTCATAATCGATCTTGTAAATTCTGAATCCGTCTCTGTCGATGCAGATAGTAGTGGAGGAAAAGATAGGAAGGAAGTGGCGACATCGGTGGCGGTAGTGGTGGCGCTGCCCTCGGTGGAAGTGAGTGGCGGCGGAGGGGGAGAGTGTGTTATATGCAAAGAAGAGATGAAAGAAGGAAGAGATGTTTGTAAATTGCCATGTCATCATTTGTTTCATTGGATATGTATTTTGCCTTGGTTGAAAACGAGGAACACTTGTCCATGTTGCCGGTTTCAGCTACCGTCCGATGATGTTTTCGCCGAGATCCGACGGTTGTGGGAGGTTGTGGTCAAGACGAGTGATAGTGCAAAGTTTGTAGGAGTTGATTAATTCAGTCATGAAAAATTGCATGGATCAACTTTTAGTAGCAATCTTTATCAGCTTAATTAATAGCCAAGAGTTAAAAAAAAATCTTGTAGAAATACATACTAATAGTTTTGATAGGTTCTTTCTTCCGATCAAATTATGTTGCGATCTTCATTTACCATTTATCAATCAATACTAATGGTCACATATTGAGAGTATATTTTTATGATGACAGTCAATTTATTGTAACTTTTTTCCTTTATTTCGATTTGAGACTGGTTGCTTTACGGGACTATCAAATTAATGATGCTTTATAATTATAAGGAGAGTATTTTCATCATCTTAGAATTAATACTTATGGCCAGATACTGAAAATCGCGTCAAAATTAATGTATATTTCAAATGAGCTTGGTAAAAGGTGAATAATATTAGTCAAAACCTGCAATCCAACGAAATTTGTCTATTTTATGAACTAGTGTGATATAATTTGAGATAGATGGAGAGTATTTTTACCTTTATGGACAATGAATATAATTTGAATTCGAACACAGGATGAAAAACCAAAAACAATATAGTTTGAGCAAAATGTGTTGCTTTCTTGGCTGTCTTTGCTTTGTGGCCAACTTTAGGTATTTAGATAAAGTTGATGAGAACTAGATTTAGTTTTAGGGGATTATGCATAGCTATCCTTTACTGAGAATGTACTGACAATTGGGTGGTTTGTGGTCTTAATTGAGTATTCTATTACTTTATTTAGTATGTGTAGAGTTTTCCTATTTAACATGACATTTTGTCATTTTGTGTATGTTTTGGTGTATTATTGCAACATAATCCTGATTCCTGCAAAGTTTTAATTCTTCTATTTTAGCTGAATTTGTGTATGTTTTGGTGGGACTAGTGTGTGATGAGTCTGATAACCCAAAGGGTCATCTTATGTTTTAGAACTCGATTCTGTTTTTCGAGATTTTCAAAACCTCATTTTATCTCTCCTCGATTTGCGTGTTCATCCGGGCGGGTTTCCGAAAAGCTTTTATGCGGAAAATTAATGAAATAATAATTTTTGGCCTAAAAGTTGATTTTAGTTGACTTCGGTCAATATTTTGAGTAAACAAACCCGGACCCGGACTCGTGTTTTGACGGTCCCGGAGGGTCCGTAGTAAAATATGGGACCTAGGCGTATGCCCGGAATCGGATTCGGAGATCCCTAGCTCGAGTAATGAATTTTTGATGAAAATTATAAGATTGGAAATCTAATGGTTTAAAGAATTTGATTAATGTTTTGATCTCGTTGGTATCGGGTCCGTATTTTGGTTCCGGAGCCTGGTACATGTTCAATATAATATTTATGTCATGTCTGTGAAATTTGGTAAAAAACGGAGTTGATTTGACGTGATTCGGGAGTCCGGTTGTGAAAATAAAAATTTAAAAGTGTTCTTAAGAATTTCATGTGTTTTGGTGTTAAATCCGTAGTTTAAGATGTTATTTTGGCGATTTGATCGCACAAGCAAGTTCGTATGATGTTTTAACACTTGTGTGCATGTTTGGTTTGCAGCTCCGAGGGCTCGGGTGAGTTTCGGATAAGCTACGGGGTGTTTTAGAACTTAGGAAATTTTGCTGGTATGACTGAACTTGTTGCAGGCCTCTGATCTCGCATTTGCGAGATCAGGCATCACAATTGCAAACCCTGCATGTTCCGCATTTGCGAGGCTTTCATCGCAATTGCGATTAGAAGCTGGGCCATACAGTCTTCCAATTGCGAAGATTTCTTCGCATTTGCGAAGTAAAGCTGGGAGGAGCAGTGATCGCAAATGCGATCATTTTGTCGCATTTGCGGAGGTTCATGTTCACAATTGCGAACTTATCTTCGCAATTGCGAAGGCAGTAGAGATGTGAAGGACCTCGCATTTGCGATGGTCCCTTTGCATTTGCGAGCTTCGCAATTGCGAAGCTCAGGTCGCAATTGCGACATCTGCAGCTGTGTAAAAGGGACGTAGACCAGATTTTTTATTCATTTCCCAAATTTTCAAAACCTAAACCTCAAGAGGCGATTTTTCAAAGGCCATTTCTTTCCAAAATCATAGGTAAACGATTCTTAACTCATTTCTTTCAATCTTTCACTTCTTTTAACAAGATTTCAACCTAGAATCTAGGATTTTCATGGTGGAATTGGGGATTTTTGGGTAGAACTAGGGATTTCGAAATTTAGGGATTTAAACCTCAAATTGAGATTGGATTCCAAAACCAATTGTATATCCGGGCTTGGGGGTGAATGAGTAATCGGGTTTTGATCCGAATTTCGAATTTGGACCAAGTGGGCCCTGGTGTTGACTTTTTAAAAAATGGCCTAAATTGAATTCCTTGCTATCATGGGTAGTTCCTAAGGCTTGGATTGAATTATTTGGTTGATAATTTGCTAGATTCCATTGGTCTGGAGGCTTGTGTGAAGTGAAAAGCGGTGATTGAGCCTTGAGTTTGGCCGAAGGAGCGAGGTAAGTGTTGTGGCTAACCTTAGCTTGAGGAGTTATGTGTTATTTGCTTATTTGTTACGTGTTTGGAAGTTGAGTACGATGTATAGGTAAGCTGACGAGTATCTATACGTTCTTGTCAAGTCATAACATGTGAGTGAGCTTTATTCTTGGAAATGTTGTATTTTGATCATATTGTTCATGTGTGGACTAGTTAATCAATGTGTTGAGAAGTTTCTTATGATGTTTTATGGAATTTGGTATTGATGGGGTTTTTACCCAAAGTTGAGATTGGTATTGTGGAACTAAGTTTCGAAGTAAGACTTGTTGTTGCCATTTCTATTTCTCTATTGTTGATGTCTCTGTTTGGTTGAGGTAGAGTGATAAAACACGAAGGGTGATGCTATGCATATTTCTATTATTTATGTGGTGAGGAAGAGTGATAAAGCACGAAAGGTGATGCCGTGCACATTTCTATTATTCACATGGTGAGGTTGTGTGGTAAAGCACGAAGGGTGATGCCGTGCACGTTTCTATTATTCACATGGTGAGGTTGAGTGGTAAAGCACGAAGGGTGATGCCGTGCATTTTCGTTTGCTGTGTTTACTTGTTATTACCGGCGTTCGCAGACCCTGGAGTCCCCTTCTAGTTATCCTAGTTTTCTGTTTTCTTTTAAATTCAAGAACAGTTATATTTTCTTTCAGCCAGTATTTGTAGTGACTCTTAGAAGTTCGTGGATTGTGACACCAAATTTTGGGTAGTCGTGTAAGTACTTGGATTATTATAAAAATTTTCACTCTTTAAATCTATTTTGGTTTAATTGCTGTTATTTACTGATTTGGTCAAGGGTTAGCGTATTAAATCTTTAATTATTGGCTTGCCTAGCATCCGAAAAGTTAGACGCCATCACGATCCCGACGGTGGGAAATCCGGGTCGTGACAAATTGGTATCAGAGCACTAGGTTGCCTAGGTCTCACAATTCACGAACAAGCTAGGTAGAGTCTGAGGGATCGGTACAGAGACGCCTGTGCTTATTCTCCAGTGGCTACAGAGTTTAGGAACAATTTCACTTCTATTCGTCTATGTCGTGTGATTTGATCTCTCAATGCTAATTTAACTCTCTACTCTTATTCTTTCGCAGATGGCGAGAACACGTACCGCTTCTTCACCCGAGCAGCAGCTAGAGCCCCCAGTGGCAGCTCCTACGAGGGGCAGAGGCCGAGGCCGAGGCCGTGCTAGAGGCCGAGGCAGGGGCAGGACTCGAGCAGCAGCACCAGCGGCGGAGCCTCAGGTAGAGTTTGATGAGGAGGCTCCAACCCAGACCGTTCCAGTAGGGCCAGCTCAGGTTCCAGAGGGGTTCATCGCTACCCCGGTACTTCAGGATGCTTTGGTTCGTCTAGTGGGCCTTATGGAGAGTGTCGCTTAGGCCAGCACATTGCCTGTAGCACCAGCCGTCTCTCAGGTTGGGGGAGGAGCCCAGACTCCTGCTACTCACACTCCGGAGCAGATGGCTCCTTAGTTTCAAATTCCAGCAGCTTAGCCCGTTGGGGTAGTTCTGTCGGGTGTAGTAGCTCAGACCGGCAATGGATCAGCTATGTCTTTGAGGCCTTGTGGAGATGGGATAGGTTTACCAAACTTTTTATCACTACCTATGGCGGTACATCTTCAGAGGACCCCCGGACTATCTCGACAATTGTCACGAGGTATTACGGAACATGGGGATAGTGGAGACCAATGGCGTCGACTTTGCTACCTTTTGTCTGTCAGGTTCCGCCAAGAAATGGTGGAGGGATTTTTGTTTGGCCAGACCAGCTGGGTTGCCTGCTTTGACTTGGGACCATTTCTCTCAGCTATTCCTCGAGAAGTTTCTTCCTGTTACATTGAGGGAGGACTATCGCAGGCAGCTCTAGCGCCTTCAGTAGGGTAGCATGTTCGTTACTCAATACGAGACCCGCTTTATTGATTTGGCCCGTCATGTTCTTCTTATACTCCCCACCGAGAGAAAGAGGGTGAGGAGCTTCATTGAGGGACTTGCTCAGCCTATCTGGTTGCAGATGGCTAAGGAGACAGGGAGCGATATTTCTTTCCAGGATGCAGCCAATGTGGCCAGACGAGTTGAGATGGTTTTAGCTCAAGGGAGTGGTCAGGGGTCTGACAAGAGGCCTCGTCACTCCGGGGGATTCAGTGGGACCTCATCTGGAGGCCGGGGTACTTTTGGCAGAGGCCATCCTTCCAGGCTGTTTCATTCAGCGCTTCAGGCTTCTCACGGTGCTCCAGGTGGCCATGGCTCTCATATGCAGTATTTCGATCAGCTAGCCTACAGTACACCACCTTCTACTATTAGTGCACCTCCGCTCCAGAGTTTTTAGGGTGGTTACTTAGGCCGCCAGGGTCAGTTTCAGGGTCATCAGCCACAACAGCCGATATCTTGTTATACTTGTGGCGATCCGAGGCACATTGCTAGGTATTGCCCTCGAGCATCGAGTAGTTCTCAGCCCTAGGGTTCTCGTGCCATGGTCCCGGCACCGGGTGTTCCACCGCCCGCTCAGACAGCTAGAGTTAGGGGTCAGATAGCTAGAGGTGGAGGTTGAGTTATTAGAGGTGGAGGTCAGGCCGCTAGAGGTGGAGGCCAGCCAGCCAAGGCCCGTCCTCGGGATACAGTTCAGAGTGGTGGGGCCCAGCCCCGATGCTATGCCTTTCCAACCAGTCCTGAGGCTGCCATTTGACGCGTTTATCACATGTACGGTTTTAGTTTGCAGT